TCTCTCTCTCTCTCTCTCTCTCTCTCTCCTCTCTCTCTCTCTCTCTCTCTTCTCGCTCTCTCCTCTCTCTCTCTCTCTCCTCTCTCCCTCTCTCTCTCTCTCTCATCTCCTCTCTCTCTCTCATCTCTCTCTTCTCTCTCTCTCTCTCTCCCTCTCGCTCTCTCCTCTCGTCTCTCTCTCTCTCTCCTCCTCCGCTCTCTCTCTCTTCTCTCAGTAACGGAGCAGGTGTTACTAGGAGGAAGAATGCACGGATGTGTGTTCTGAATCATCGCTGTCCAAACAGATGTTGTAAACTAGTCATTCTTAGAAAATGGGGAAAACGCTGGGTAACATGACAAATAGCGCTGCATAACGGGCATGGTGAGAGCATCGCACGAGACCGTAGCGCCGCAATTGCCCGCAGACTTCAACACCGCGTGACATATAGCACCGGAGACTGCAGCCGGAGAGCGGGGTCTAACCACGTCGTGGGCCAAAGGTTGCTGACCAAGGACTACACAACCCTAGCCATCATCCTGGTATTCCGTCCAAGCTTACGCACTGGATGGCTGTAGACCCACTCACATGGAGTGAATGTGGCAGGCACTAGCTAGCAGCCGCCCTGACTAGATGAGGCTGGCACCGCCCATCTCCGCGTGATTCAGCTGCGCTGCAATACTGCACCCTTCATCCTCTCCCCACATTCACTATCCTGAGCAACTCTAGATGACATGGCAATTATCTATGCGGTTGGTGTATGCTCAGCTTGGAGGGCTGAATCACGTCTGTAATCAAAGGAATATCTTTGTAAATAATTTGCTCCGAAGGCTGAAGCAGCATATTTGGACCAGCTGAGGTAAAAGGCATTTGGCAATTGATATCAGTTTAAATGACAAGTTCTCTTGTTTTGAACCTGAGCACATGTGTCTCAAAAGTATATAGATTTATAGTGTCTGCCTGTTTTATTAACATCTCTGGGATAACGCAACGAAACGCATTATACAAATATATATTTTGCCAAGCAATATCATAGAAAAACGCATTTTGTTGGCACCAGGATATTGGCCGGACTCTCTTCCATGTTGCGAGATTGTGTCCTGTTCGAATTCATACATTCAATCCCTTTATTTTGGTAATGCGGTCGGATGGCTGGCTGCTCGACTTGCCTTGGTTTATCGTCAAAGTATTTTGTCGTATGCCGCTGCGTTTCGTTTTCAGTCTGAATTTAAAAAGCCATTGTTCACCACGATTTGTTTGGTTTCTACGCGTTCTGAATACAACCCTGTCCAGTCAAAGTGATGTTTAAATGAATGTCTAAGGAATGATCTTATAACGCTACTTTAGCAGACGATTCTGGAAGTGCTACTTTTGTGATTTTGTTGAAGATGAGTGATTTTGTACGCACAATGGTCTGTCTTAGCGATAGTGCAAGGACGAAAGCCAAGAACCTCTGAGCTGATAAAGAGGAGCGCAGAAAGAAGTGTTTTTCAAACAGTGCATTTGAATGCGCTGTCCGCAATTTCCAGGCCTATGCGAGGCTATTACCAAGACATCAGCTTAAAATTAAACATTGTCATTGGGAAGCTTGAAAGTGTATTATTGCAGCAACGGCTTTTAAATACATTGGTTAAGGTCTAAAGCCCTAAAGGATAGATTTTCGGCATGGTAGCGTGCTACCTTTTAAATGGACGTCTTAAAAACTCGAAGACTAAATAAAAAGGCCCTGGAAGAGTGGCCGAAGCAGACGTCATCGACGTTTCGGCCAGCGGTGAGTGATGCGCAAACCTGCGGCACGGAGCCGTTCGGGCGCATCTTGTGCCCCAGTTTCGCGGGAGCGCAAGGGGACCAGCGACTGGTTTGTGCAGGTCGTTTGACCGCCGGGCGAGTTACGACGGCAAAAACAGGCCTCATCCCGCTCGCCGGTTTCGCGATGAACAGCACGGTTGCGACTAAAAAGTCCATGTCTGCGAGGCACCATGCCAATCACCTATGATCAAATGCCTGGCTGGTGGTCTCTAATCTTGACAAACTGTGGCGATTGATGCGTTTGAGTATCAGCTACGGCGTAGTAGGTTGCCCAACGTGATTTTATCTACTGAAGGTTGCTATGATTCATTCATGAAGACGTGCGCGTCGTACGCTATTTTGCAATTCTCTGCCACATGAATGGGTGGTCAGGAGAGCCGCTTTATACAATGCGACCAGCTATGGTAAACATTAATAATGCGTGCATTGCGACCACCTGGTCGAGGGGGTTGTCCCGAAAACCGGACGATTTTCTTAACCTTTAATCTGAAGCTCATGGACCTTGAAGCAGCTGTCAGCAGCCGATCCATTTGTCAAATTCTGCCAAAGCGCTGATTTCCTTGCAAGGTCATTTCATGGACATGACGCGTTTGAGAAACGCTCGTGCGGTTGAATGTATTTCTATTGGCTGCGATTCGAATTCACTTTCGAATTCGGAACTTTTCATTTAGTTAATCACTTCGTCTGAACTCTTCCCGATCAATGTCTGCCACACAATCAGGTCACATTGAGATCGCTAAGATCGCCAGAAGGTCATGTTAGAACACGCTTTAAATAGCTGTTTATGCTCAAACGAGCAGTGCCGTCAACTTGTGGTAAATAAGTTATCACATTTCGAGACTAATGTCTCAAGTCAATCGGCCCCATCAGGTAGCCGTAACTCAACCCATGTCATGTGAATTGTAAGAGTTGCACGCAATGCATAACCTTTGGAATAAAACGTAGTATTAATCAGTTTTACTTAACCTGGTATTACCCAGAGCTCGGCGATGGCTTAACGATCTTTCGTGTGTTCCTGATTTAGAGATGAGATGCAAGAAAATTGTTCAATGTTCTAGAAAACCTAAAGCTGTGAGTGAAATCGTCAGGATTTTGGGGGAATTTCTGGGATAGGATAATCAGGGCCATCGTTAAAACTTCGAATCTCCCCAATAAAATAGCTGCATGTTAGCACAACCGCGCTCTAAAGAAGAGTAGCAAAAATAATCTACAAGGTATCGGCAAATGACATGGCAAGTAGTAGAGGAAAAAGTAAAAGTAGCTGCAAGCTGCCGCAGGTGGGGAAACACTCCAAGCGGATGGCTAATCGATGCTTACCAACAGCCCTGCTCAGACATTGGTTGCTGAATTTGAAGCAACGCGCCTTTTGCGGCGTAAAAGGGCTGCACCGTGGTGGTGGTCCTGACAGATGTGAGTGTCATCATCTCGTGCATGAGATCGAGGCGTAGATAAATGCAGTCAGCGCCTTTGGGAAGACATGAAAGTGGTCATTGTCCATGCGCTGGATTCCCAGAGGCCCGACACCAGAATCAGGTGGTTTATCTCAAACACAACACAGACACGAGGAGGATGAACTCACTATTTGCTTCCGCGTAATGCTAATGTGATGCCTTGCTAAAGCGATCAACATTGCCAGTCAACCGATCAGCTAAAAAGTTACAAACCTGTAAAGGGACAAAACACACGTGATAAAGTGTTACGACCGGCGAACATTATAGGATGCTACCAGATGCCTTGGCAGGCGGCGAGAGGCAGGACAAGTCTGGTCGACCTAAATTTCGGGGTGTCTCAACAGCTTCATCTCGCAACCCTATTCAGTAATCAAATTTTCCACAACCCCATATTATTCAGGAGGCGCCCGGATCACCCTAGAGTCAAAAGTGACACAC